AAACTAAAGCCGAGGGCAGAATCTTTGAGCTGTCATCCACACAGACCTGAAGTCATGGCTATTGTCTGTGTCTTGTTACTTATTCAAAAAGAAATCACAATAACTAAGAGTGGTTTTTAAAATGCTGTCATGTAAGAAAGTCCCATTTTTAAGTCTGAAAATATTCTGAAAAATGATAGCCATAAATAAGAAATTATATATATAACTGCTGGGCCAGAAACCCTTCCAGGACTCAGAAAGTTCCAGAGCCATGATCTATACAGGACACCACATAGGGGAAACTGAGTAACAAATGACCCTTTGGTGTATCCCCAAATTTTAGAAGGTCCTCGTTGGTAATAAAAGCTCAGAGCCTGCTCACAGGCAGGGCTAAGATGCATGCATCCGTGTATACAAGAGCAACTACACCAGGCTGGCAGTTTATCCCAGGAGTCCTCAACTTGTGGTGTGAACCAAGCAGAACACCAAAACCCCACAGGTGCTGAAACAGAAGAGGAAGTCTTCCCTTGACAAACTCAAAAACCATGCACACAGAGCGATCCTTCACACTTGACACGCGTCACAACAAACATCCCTCTTGGTAGGAAAAGGTCAAAGCTAGGAAACTTTTCCCAGTCTCTTCTAACCCCCTCTCAGCTTCTCAGGGGGAGATCTGGGGTGAGAAGCCCTGGGTTCTTTCCCTTTCCTGCCTCTCTAATGCATCAGCAATTCTGGCTATTCCTACCTCAGGAATGCCCCTGGAATCGCTCCATTTCTATCCATTTCCACTCCCACCTCTTTCCCTGCTCCAAGCAACGCTGACTGGACACACACCACGGAGTCCTACTTACACCTTCATAGATACTGCAGATGGTGGCCAGAGGTGGCCTTTATGGACAGAAAACAGACCATGTCACGTTCCTGCTGACTCTGCAAAGCCTCTTGTCTGTTCTGCTTGCTCTAGTCCCCACCTGGCTTGAGGCCACCCATCCTCAGAGTCCTTTACTACTCCCCAAAGCAAATTAGGTCCACCTGCTGGACTTTCTCACTCACAATGGAGAGTAGAGTCTGACTTGCACGGTTCATTTATTTGTGTGACCAGTTGTTATCTGTCCCTGCACTACATTACAAACACCATAGAAGCCAGACTCCTGTCCAGGACTACTGAACACATAGCAAACAATGGACACATTGCGGGTACCTGACAAAATGTCTCACATCATTCCCCCTCAAGGAAATGGGGAGTATAGACTTGGAGAGATTGTTCAGTAGGTCAAGTGCTCGCCCTGCAACCATGAGGACCAGAGTCTGGATCTCCAGGACCCATGTGGAGGCTGAGCACAAAGCAACATCATCATCCTATCAGTGAAGTTAAAAGGAGACAGAGAGGAGGGAGGGGGAGGAGGGAGGAGAGGCAGATTCCTGGAGCTCAGTGGCCAGTCAGTTTGAACATTCTTAACATCTGTCTTCCAGAGGGACAAGTAGCATCCTCCAACATGTCTGGCTTCACTGAGTGAGCCATTCACGTGTGAACTCAAATCAACATAAATGAGAAAAAAAAAAGGTTGTGCAGGTGACAATGAGCAGCGACCCCCAATGGTGATGACAGGCTTCCCAAGATGCCTCCAATGCCAAGAAAGCAAAGCAGTGACAGCCCTGGGGCTTTTGAAGTCAAGGTTTTGCTTTTTCCACTGCTCACCCCCTAACACACACACACACACACACACACACACACACACACACACACACACACACAAATCATTCTTACTTACAAAATAAAGCAGGGATACATTCTCCTCAGACACCACTCTAGGGAAAATGTTACAATGCAAATGCATGAAAAAAAAAAAAAAGATTGTTTTTTGTGGGTGATGGAACTGAAGATTTTCTCTTCTCCCCCAAATCTCTTAGTTCACTATCTTGTGCATGAACAACTCACTTTTGTGAGTTTTTTGAGTGTGATTAATACTGTGTGATTAATACTGGGCCTAAACGGTTTTCTTTACTTGGAGGTATGTCCCTACAGTACATTATACTCAAAATATTGCTGCCAGTGCCACAAAGATGGACATTGTGCTTTGTCAACTACATAACACTGCTGAAGTCAAAGAGGAACATCCATCTTCCTAAAGCAGGAAGCAAAATAATTCCAAATATGAGGGCTCCAAGTTATGTTTTTAAGTCTGAATTACTGTGCTTCAGCAATCTATAGCACAAACAAACAAAAAATTTGCCTCTAGCCTGTAAGGCCCACTTGCCCAAGGACAAATAACTACCTGGAATGCTGGGGGCTGTGGTTCATTATTGTAACAAGCCATGTGTTTTCTCTTCAGTAAACCAAGTTGGTTGTCCCAACTGCGCAGGATGTACTTGATCACAAGTAGGTGGGCGGTATGTAGGTAGGAAGTATGTCAGGACGTATGCTCACCCTCACTAGACGAAGGCAGGAAATACATAGCCTTGTGGGTTTTGCCTATATAAGCATCTGATTAACCTAAATCAGTGCTGTTCTCTGGGAATCCAGGGTATGGACCTGGCCAGTATTTAATAAAGCTTTTTTTAAAATTAGACAGTCATGGATTTGGTCTTGTTCTCACAATTTTCAGGTTTAACAATTTCCCACTGAAGCACTATGTAACGTGGAGACCATCTCTTCCCATCCAAGGCCAACATTTCCATTTGGGTCTCTCATTAGCAACTGAGTGGGAAGGTTGTTCCCTCTGCTGGTGGGCCCCTGGGCTTTCCTGGTCTGGGGACACCTGCTTGGCCTCTGTGTCTAGCCAAATCGTGGTTCCTCTCACTGACTCCATCCTCAGGGGCAGTCCCCTGCACCTGCTCTTCACTGCCACTCTCCTCACTCTGCTGCTGCTTGATTTTTGTTTTCTTTTGTTGTTTTAATGTAAGTTAGGCCACCCTGACATATAATGACTATTTCCCAGCTCTCCTCTCTGATGCCAACTCCTCTTCTGCTGAAGATGATTGCGGTATCTCTTCTAATGTATTATAAACCAAACTGATCTGAAGTCACCCTAGTCCCAAGCCCGCCGAATCTGGCTCTCCTAACTCTCCCAATTCCTCAACAGCAGCATTCTTTCCTAATTAAAACAACAGAGTGGACAGTGGTATCAATGTGCGTTCCACCTCTCCTTCAGATCTAGAGAGGGAAACTGAGGCACAATAAATGAAAGAATGGAAAGCAGAGAGCTGGGGCTCCTTTGGACCAGAGAGTGAGCCACTGGCGCAGTCCTAACCCGCCTTGCTCACAGCAGTTCATCCTAGTAAGAACATCCTACCTGCAAAGCTCCCTTCAGAATCAGTGGACTTTCCAGATCCCTGCTTCAGATGCCCACGTCTCAGCTCAGGGTTTGCCCGACTGCATGCCGATTCAATTCTTATGAATATGCACTTAACCATATGCAGCACCCCACCAGGACCAGGCACTGCAGGTTCTTTCCTTACTACTAAAGACGAGTCAGATGGTCAAGGTACACATCACGCAGGTGCTTCGATAAAGCAGAGGGTGGCCTCTCTCCTGAGCATCTTGTGGTTCACTGTAACCACCACAACCCATTTCTTTTTGGTGAAAGCTTGGTCAACTTTAGTTCTGTCTTTGGACCACCTCCCCGCCAACACTTGGAGGAAATGGGCTGAGAGTTTATTTTAAGCATCAGATTGAGTTTACTATCATCCAGCAACGTATGATTCAATGATTCCCATGATCCAGCGCTCCATACAATGAAAACTCCCCCTGGCCTCATAGCACACATTAATCAGTGTAATTGAATTAAACTCATCTGGAGGTTCAAAATTATCTCTCCTCTTTCAGCCTTTTCTCGAAATCTTAGAGTTGCCGCGAGGAATAATCAGTGAAGTTGGAAGTTATGGCATCTTACATGATTAAGCACCAAGAGCAAACTGTGCATCCACCTCCCCCCCCCCCCGCCCACCACCTGTGTACCACTTCAACCTCCTTTCAGAATCAAGAGGATGAGAAAACATCAGGATACCCCACTACTGCTTTTAGCCAAGAACTGAAGCCCAGACCTGCTACAAGCATCTTCTAGAAAGAACAGTTGAACATAGGACCGTAGGAGAAGCAGCTGGCAAGCCTGAGTGGAAACCAAACACGCCTGAAATAGAGCAGGGTGTTCCGAACCAGGCTGACTTCATTTAGCCACGACACACAGTAGTCTCAGTAGTCACACGGGCCATCTGAAGCGTCTCAGGGCATTGGTGCATTAGGGTGTCCCTGTCCCAGCACTTGGCAAGTGGAGGCGTGACTGTCAGAAATTCAAGGTTAGCATAACTTAGCTACTAGCAAGTTTGAGGATATTTGGGTTTCATGAGACACTATCTCAAAAGAGTAAATGAATGAGTGAATAAATGAATGTGAGTCAAAGTATGTTCCTGTAAGTGAACAGAAGTACAACAAAGAAGAACAGTTTGACGATGTTAACCATTGACAGATGAAAGGCTGCGGTCGAAAATACTCTGGTAGCCTCCTCCCCACCTCCAGAGAAACTCTTACACCAATACCGGACTCAACTGCGCTAGCCCACGCGTGTCTCCCGCGCCCACTCCCTCAAGCTCACCCAGCAAGGCCTGGGGAACAGAGAGAAGAAGACAGAGCGCCAGAGGCTAGCATGGTCTTCCCAGGCCCCACTCAGGGTAGTTACAGAGAGTCTGACCCTGCGGGGCGTCTGCCCTGCGTCCTTTCCCCAGATCTGAGCAAGCGCCCAGGGCAATGAGGCGAAGAGGACACAGAACCGGTGTGGGCGGGCAGCTTGGAGACAGACCCGGGCTTCAGTCCCCGAGAGGAACACAAAAGCCAAACGTCCCCCAGCCCAGGGGCCACTCCCAGCCCAGCCCCGCCCTGCCCCGCCAGCTCCGGAGCTAGCGAAGTGGGCGACAAGTGGGGTGCACCTCAGCCTCTCAGCGAAGAGGAGGGAGGAGTCCACGCCGCCGCCCCTTGCCCCGCCGCGTCACCCCTGCCCCGCACCCCTGGCTCGCACCCCGCTTACCTCTAGCGCCCCGCAGCAGCCGCCCGCGAGGTGCACCGGCCCGGGGCGCGGGAAACGCCCCCGCCGCGCACGCGCATGCTCCCGCCGCACCTGCCTGGCTCCCTGCCCTGCAGCCCCGCACGCGGGCTGGGCTTCCCGGCGGGCGGGCGAGCGAGCGGGCGGGCGAGCAGCCGTCCCCCATCACCACCCCCTGGACCCCCTCCACCCCCAACGCTGTCTCCGCACTGGCTCGCCCGAGCCAGGCCAGCGCATCCCAACCACTCCCCTGCCACCCGTTTACCGCAGCCAGGTCCCAGGCGCTCACCGGGTTTCACCTCCTGCACCCTGGTGGATACTTGAAACCTCTCACCAGCCACCACCGGATTTTTACTTACACACACACACACACACACACACACACACACACACACACACACACACACACACACACACGTACTGGGATACCTAAGGGATTGAGATAAAAGGATGCTTTTCACACGGAATAGGGGTGGGTGAGTGGAGGGCAGGCTACCGAGCTTGCTGTGTGCGCTGAGAACCCCGAGTTGACCAAGCTCTTCCTCTGTGGGAACTTAGAGTCCTCCTACTCACTAACTTTGGCCTTTCGCCTGCCACAGTCACTGATTTGAGGAATATCTTGTGTAAGTCATTTTTGTGTTTGATGGCTGATCATTGAAAGCTGTGCTCTGTGACTTTTAAATGAATTTTTCTTTTATGGAGGTGTGTAAATGCTAACAGACAAACAAGAGTTATCTTGTGGATACAAAGTATTAGGCTTTTGCTTTGATACAGAAAGCTGGTAATTTAACATGATCAACACCCAGAGTCCTCTTTTTGGTTAGTTGTTGATTACCATAAACTGAGGATTGGAAACTTTTAGGCAACATTGGTCATTTGCTAAAACATAATGTGCAGGGGCTGAGAAGAAAAATATGATACCCTTTTAAAAAAAATTAGGAACAATGATCATAGGAAGTTGTAAGTTCCAGGATACACACAACCCATTCCTCATACTCCAATCAGTTAAGACAAAGATTTGAGGCAAAACGATAGAGAGGCAAACAGCAGTAAAATAAATCCTAGTGAAGTGGTGTGTTCATTTGTATCCTGCTTAAACGTGTTTGAGGTGAGCCTTACAGAGCTGGTGGTCCATTCATTTCCTTAACAACAGTAATCAACCATCCAGACAGAAGAAAAAGCAAAGAAATCCAGCAAAATTTCGAAAGTCGAAGGGTGCCTCAAGTTAACGTGGTTACTGTCTTAGCAAGGAGGAAAGGTTGGTTGGATCCTTATGTACCTGACCACATCGAATCAGAGGGGAGCCAGTGGAGGAAGGGGTACCCAGAGTTCCTCTGCCCTGCTACTTACAGGAGCACAGGTCTGAGAAGGCAGCAACAGCTGCTGCCTGATGGAGGCTGAGCTCTTCAATCCCTGCAGTAGAGTCCCGGTTCGTCCCAGTAGTGTTCACCCTTAAAGCGTCTAAATCTCGGAGATATAAACATCAACGTCATTCTAGCACACAGTCAAGAGTGCTCTACCTGCCCCTTAGAAAAACGATCAGTGTTCTACACAAGGAAAACTGCGTTGAACCCATGTAGGCAGAATTTACATCACCTTTATAACCCACCTTCACTAATTTTGAAACAGAAATATGACAACATGTTTATGAATGGTATTTGGATGAAAACTATGAAATTCCCAAATACTCCATTTTCATGGACTAGATTTTCCCCCACCAAAGGACACTCCACTAAGACAGTGAACAACACAGAAAACCCCATTCAGGGCTACTTCCAGGTAAACACATTCCTAAAGAGAATTGAGGACCAGAGAGTATACTCAAAGATGCTGGCATCTGCTCTCCAATAGCACTGTTACTCAAATTTTATGGAAATCCAAGCAGGAAGAAATTAGCACACTCCTTACAGAACCTTTAGGCTGTTGTAGTACAGCCCTTTTATTTGAACAGCTGCAGGCTAAAATCAGATGCCTCACTGTTGATTATTAGAACTTAACCAACAGACCCTAGGAGCAAACAAATGTTTAAGAACTGTGGGGTTGTTGGATATTTTCCTTCTTCTGTTTAGTTCATTCTAAAGTACTCTGAATACAGCATTGTTACTGATGAGATAGATGGAGAAGGTTTCCTGTTGAGAAACTCTCTGATGGCATGGAAAACATGGAGAAGCCCTAAGCCAGAACTCCTCCAAATGAAACCACATCACAGCCTCTATACTTGTCTGTTTTCTGTGCAGTTGGTGAAGACCAGCCCTTCCTGCTTGCTAAGATAGTAACCACATTAACTCAAGGCACTCTTCAATTTTTTTAAAATCTACTGAGTTTGTCAGCTTTTTTTCTGTCTGGGTGGTTATATCTCTTTTCTGAATAGGATTGAGTTGCATTCCTTTACTATTGAATCAATAGTGGGGATGAGGAGTGATAGAGGCCTTTGAAAAATTCGCAGCTGTTCCTCGCTTTTGTTTTGAAACCGAGCATGAAGTGAATACCTCCACCTGGCCTGGCCTGATTGACTACAAACCCAAGCTGTGCACAGCAGCACACTGTTTCCTCAGCCAATATTTGTCTTCAATTGTCACCATCAAGTTTATTTCCATATTAGCTCCATTGTTAATCATTTCTCTATTACGGCTTCCCCTTAGAGCATGTGTTTCTAAGCAGATTACCTATTACTAAATTTTCTTTAATGGGCTGTAATATAAGTAATTTAGAGTTCTATTTAAATGTAAATATTGGTTCAGAAAGAAGTGTCAATTATATTGAACAATTTAAACTACTTTTTAAAATGGCAACACAAGGCTTCATAACCAAGGTAATATACGTATTATGCATTTTGAATAAATTATTTAAAACCTACATAAAAACTGTTTGGCTTTATATTTACACTTAAAATCTTTTTAAGTAGAACAAAACTATAATGAAGTTTTGTTGGTGGCTTCATGGTGCAAACCTATAATCCTGCTTCTCAAGAAACTAAAACAGAAGGACCCCAAGTTCAAGGCTAGCCTGGGTTACAGAGGGAGTTCAAGGTCAGCACAGAATGTAAAAAGGGCCTGGTACTGTAACTCTTCTGTGAAATGCTTATTTGACATATATAAAGCTTTAGGGTCAATACTTAATGTGCATGTGTGGGGGGGGGGGGCGTATCTCACATCCTTAAATTCTGGAATTTCTTAAAAAAAAAAAAAAACTCTATCTCCAACTTACATTCCTAATAAGAGTTCATCTGTGCCAGGTGAACAGGACAAGGATGCTCACATCAGCTTACAAACTTCACTTCCCATTGCATGCAGTGCTGAAGAAACTAATACAGGGTTTTTGGGAAAAGGGAGAAAAATTCCAGAAGAAAAACTATCAGCCCTTTCATCTGGTTTTGACAGGTATTGTTGACTTAACCATGCTCAATCCTAAGTAAGGGACTGAGAAAAAAAGAAAGGGAGATTAAATCATAAGTAGGTCACATTTTCTGTAATAGCCATATGCATCCCCAAAGCTATAGCTAGACCCTTGCCACCCTGAACTATATAGACCACCTGCTCAGGAGCTGGGAGAGTGGTTTCTGTTCCTGTCTCTGCTCGTGACCGCCATGGTAGAAATCAGCTGGCTCTAGTGGATGTGTGTCAGCACACTGAATTTACCTTAGGGATCACCAAGTTCAAAGACAAGGTCTAGTTCACAGCAGAAACATTTACATCAAGAGGCCAATTCTGTTAGTACTCGAAATGGTGATAAGGCTAAAAGAAGCAGCTGAAACAAGACTGACAATTAGTGTGACTGATGTAAATGCACCAAAGATCAATGTTTCTCAGTCAACGCATTCCCACCACTGCCTTCTACATAGTAAGGTAAATGCTGTTCAAAGATTGCCTGGTGACCATGAAATCGGAACATGCAGAACAAGCTGACTGCTCGTGATGGACAGTGCTAACAAGTGTCTACTGCCTGACACAGAGTCCTCATGGAGGGACGTCTGTCCTGAGGAGACCCAGTATCCTCACAGAGGGACCCAGATCCTCACAAAGGGACCCAGATCCTTATAGAGAGACACAATATCCTTATAGAGAGACCCAGATCCTCACAGAGGGACCCAGACCTTCACAGAGGAAAGTCAATAGTGAGGAGAGAAATACAGCATCCTAACAAGGGGACCCAGATCTTTATGGAAAGAAGTCTATCCTGAGGAGACTCAGTGTCCTCACAGGGGGACCCAGCATCCTCATAGAGGGACCCAGATCCTCATGGAGGAAAATCTATCCTGAGGAGACCCAGGCTGTTTTAGCTATAGGAGCTATGAATGAATTCTACTTTTCTCTTGCTTTCTAATCCTTGGGACACTCCTTGATCACCTTGATGGTATCTGGGTATTTTAGAAAAGTACACCAGCTACACATTTAAAATAATCTCTTGGAGAGGCTACATCACAAAATATTTATTTATTTATTTATTTATTTATTTATTTATTTATTTACTTTTTGGTGAATGTTTTCTTAACTTCCCAAATGTCCAAAAATTATCTACTGGCACCCCTTATGTTATCAGTCTGAACCTAAACTTGTTTGAATCATTTCTATTTTAGATTTAATTTTCTCTCCTTATTAAAACATTAACCAAAGTAAAAAGAATATAATTTTACTTTAGTAAGTATCTATTATTCCATTAAAAATAGAGTTCAATTTTTCTGCACTGAATATGCATTTGTTCTTTTCCATTTTGATGCTAAAAATGAAAATCTTCACAAAATTCATTTCTAATTTTAGAATATGTGTTGGTCTAAAGCTGTTCAAAGCAGCATTTCCACAAAAAAGTATAAAGGCCTCTTGTCACAGGGACAAAACTTGTACCTTTCTTTAGACTTTTAGATTACAAGGTATGCAAAGAATGCCTTGAACTTAAATATTGAAATGTTCAATAGCTCCCTAATTCTGGAATGAGGACTGTTCATTATCAAGCCATTGATATTACCCTGAAAATAAGAGTTATTCATTTGTTTGATTGTTTGTTTGTTTGTTTATAATAAATGCTTTCAGTCTTTGACTCCTGACACAGGTTTTTGTCAAGCCAGAATTTTCTGAGCAATAGAAATG